TAGGACCAAAGATGTCATCGATACCACCTGAAGGAGGCAGTGTCGTCTCCTTAGCTGGGAAAACACAGTCTTGATCCTGAAGCTTGGGTGGATCACCCCCCTGATCCTCGGAAACCGCGAGAGGAAAAACCATATCCCCTATCGGAAGTTCCATGCGCTTGACCCGAATGATTCTCAGGTCGTCATTGTCAATTGCATCTTGGCTACCCTTTAAGGGAGCTACGAGGTATTCCTGTCTCCAAATGAAGCCAGGTTGAATGTGGTATCCTAAGAAGATACCGTCTTCGGCCTTTGGGTCGAACTTAGATGCATTTGTGATGTTCTCTTTGGGATTGTTCCAATAGAGAACCTTGGCACCAAAAGGAATGAGCTTACCGCTAAACCCTTCACCGAACCTTTCGTCCCATGGGATCTTCGCGGTGTCCATCCTTTTGGACAAGTTTAGAGCCATAGTGTGATGTTGAGCAGCTAAGGGCCAGAGCTTCGTTGGAAGTCCTGCCTGCAGCAAGTTCGCCCGTGTGCCCTCGAGCACAGTTCGAATCTCTCTCTCAACAACAGACTTGCTTTCATCGACGTAAGGTCGTGAGGTGTTGTGACGAACTTTGTATTTTCCAGTAGCATTCTTGAGTTCGGGGGCATTGTCAGAGTAAATGATACCTGGTTCATCATCTACAGCGAAGTAGTGCAACAGGCAATCATAAACCTCTTCCGACTCCTTCGTACCTGCAGGGTACACATAACGAAAGTTAGTGAACACGTCCTTAACCACAAGAGCAACTTTCTCACCTTCGATCCCAAAATCACGCAAGTCCTTGGTCACAATGTGATCAATCGTCACGTGGTCTCCGAACTTCTTCGAAAAGATAGTGGAGCTCCCCCCTCGCTTTCTGGCATGTGGCGCTAGCATTTTGGCCTTTTGGCATACCTTGCAGAAAGGGTTCTTAGGACGGTGGGTGAATTTGTGCTCCGGGCTATTGGCCTGCAGCTTGAGCTGGGCTGAACGTTTTTCGTCCTTTGGGTCAGCTTCAGCTTCTCTTTCGCTGTCAGGCTCCGGCTCGGGGTCATCAACAGGTCTTTTAAAGATCGTTATACTGAGAATGCAGGCATCAGAGGGGAGCTTGGCTACCCGATTGTCCAACGTCCTTACATCCACGTCTTTTTCGATCTCCTGCCATTTCTTGACATAAGTCCAAGTACTCCGGATGACGTGCTTTGGAAACCTTGTAGCAGGCGTTCTAAAGGTTTTGGGAAGGTGCCCCACGATCATCTGTGGAAAGGAAGGATGCGAAACCCAACCTGGTTTGTTCAAGTACTCCGCCTTTATGCCTAACGGAGCAGCCTCTTTCAGTGCTTTTTCGATCCTGGGGTCGAGGCCACTGCCCGAGGATTCGCCTTCCGGCTCGGATTCTGCTGCATTGGCGTGCCTTATTAGGCCGCTGAACGGGGAAAACCCGATGTTGCCTGGATGACTGGCGAATGAGCCGCTTTCTCATCCTTGGCGGGAACGGCGATTGTACCATCCCCAATTACCGGGACTCGCCCGCGCAGCTTGCAGTAAAGTTTCCGGCCTTCGGGTGTCACGAAGTAAGGCGTCTTCCCTGCGTACCAATGGAAATCGAAACCCTCATCCATGCATCTCCTACCAACAGAGCACACCGGCGGTGTTGAATCTAGCACGTAGCATTCGAGGGTTTTGTTGATTTCAGGGACCTCTAGCTTAACGGCTTCATTACCTTTTACCGGCCCGTTGGCGGTGATCAAAGAAACAGGACGTGAGGCAGGTTCAATGGGTACGTCGGGGAAGTGAGTTCTGCAGTCCGACTTGCTGATGAGGTCTTCTTCACTTCCGGTATCCGCTAGGAATTCTAAGCCGGGGACCAGACCTGCACATGACGGACGTGCAAGTCGCTCGCACTCCTCGCAGAGGAAGCCTTCCTCCATGCATTCATACCCGCATCCCGCAGGCGTGTCGTGAATCATGCATTCGATCATGGTGGCAAACTGCTTTGCCCACACAAGAGCCCTTTTCAGATCCTTAGGATTCGAGCGTGGACATGCCTCGACAGTGGGATAGACTTCATCATAAACCCTGGGAAGGTAGGCATGCTTTCTCTGCTTTCCTTCCGGTTCGATGGCAATCATTTCTACGGTGCTGTCGAAACTCACCTTAGGGAGTTCTTGCATGTAGAAGATCGTCTTACCTACCCATGTGCTGCCGGGTCCTTTGGTTGGGGTCTTCCTCCAGTTGTAGATCTTGTTTCCAACAAAAGGGGAGACCGGCAAAACCTGCTCGAGCTTAGCTTGGCTCCTAAGCTTCTTGGGGTTCACAGGACATGAATTGTCAGGAACATACCAATCTGTTCGGTACTTCTTGTGATGACGGATGATTTTGTTGCCGGTGAAGTCTACCTCCCAGTAGTCCTCGTCGTGTGACGCTGCCATAGCGAGCTTTGGCGAGATCTCAAGATCCGCTGTATTTTCGAACGCGATGGCGCATGCGGCCGTCTTTGGGGCCTTGTCACTTGACTTGGCCCGGGGACTTCTCCCTCTGCGCGGAGCAGGAGAGTTGGCCCTGGGTGACCCTGGCTTTGGAGCTGCCGGGGCTGCTTCGGACTTAGGTGCTGGAGCTGAGGGCTTCTCTATGTCCTTATGCTGGAACCGACATTTATCACCCTTGTTGCAGTTGCCTTCTTTCCAGAACTTGCATGTCACGTTGATTTTCTTCTTCGGCTTGTCGCCTTTGGGGGACAATGATCTCTTCTTGTGAAGGAAAGGGCAGTTATTGCCTCGCTTGCAAGTTCCTTTGAGGAAATCGTAGCATACTCCCTTTGGGCTAGGTGTCCTAGGCTTGCTGGGAGACTGTGATCTGCCTTTACTGGGTGATCTTGGCCTTGGGCTCTGCGATCTGCCACGGCCTCCTCTTGAAGAGGGGCTGGAAGTTCGGCCAGGAGACTTTGAGGCAGGGGCACCGTACTTATCTCCGTGAGATCTTGCGATGCGGTCACGGTTCTTGCGTTTGCGCTCTCGGGTCAAAAGATCCTTAAGTGACTTCACAAGAAACCTGTACGTGTGCTGATCCGTGCCCTCTGCTGCCCTGTCGTAAATCTCAAGATCGTACTTTAGCCTCTTGGACTGCCTGAGTTCACGAAGGAAAATGTCTCTTAGGGTCGTTTCGTCCGGTGTGTGGCTAAGCCCAGACATGACAGATTCCCAGTTGCTAATGAACACTGAAAGGTCGTCATTGATTAACCTTACTTTCAGCAGGTCCTCCACGGAGTACAGTGATCCAACCTCCTCGTTCGTCTTGAAGTACTGATCGAAGAGGTAGAGCACCTGTCGTCCTCGTACCGCCCTGAATTTCGCCGCTTCTGTCTCCTTAAAAATGAGGATTTCTCGGGAGAGTTCTCCCCTAGCGACTTTGGTGAGTGCAGCAAGAAGTTTCGTGTCAAGGGTGAGGAATTTCTCGGGGTCTCGAAGGGATTCCTGCGATGCGTCTTTGTCGTAGGCCTTCATCACCCATTTAAACGCCTCATCAGGTGAATCTGATGCTGCCCTGACCGCTTCCCTAGCTGCCGTTTTCCACGAACGATACGACTCTGGACTTGGAAACTCCGGAAGGCTGATAGACTCTGCTTCTTTCACTTTGGGTTTGTCAGCATCGGTTTTGCTCTCACCCCTTATGTTTCTTAGGCTTTGAAGAATTGCCATTTGGGTCTCTAGGAGACCTGTGTTGAAAGCATCCGTCCCTGGCGTGCCGGAATCGGCCGCTGGAGGGGCCGCTGTTCCTGGCGCTGCCTGGGAAGGTCCTGCCTTGGGGATTGAAGATGCTGTTGCAGACGGAATGGACTGAGCATTCAAACCTCCTGGATTCATTGACTCGAACAGACATCTGGCGCCTTGGGGGATAACGTTCGGCATTGAGAACATGGGCGCTTGAGGAGCTTTGGGGACGACAGAAGGACCTGCAGGGGTACTTGGAGCAGGCACTGGCTGACTCTTTGGAGTAGCTGGATTGTACTGATCCAAGACCTTCTCTAGTGCAGTTTCCGCAGAATCCAACTTGTCCTGAAGCTCTTCATTCTGTTCCCTACATACAGCAAGGGACGCCTCATACTCTTCTTTCTGCCTGTTCCTAAACAACTCAAAGTGTGCTTGGAACTGTTCAACCATGACTTCCTGGGAATTCTCGATGTGCCGTCTCGCCTGTTCTTCGAGGTTCTGTGCAAAGCGTGATTCCGCCAAATGTTGATCCAATGCGTCTGTGATTCGGCTGTTTTGAAGTTCCGCTAACTCTTGACGCAACCTTTGATCTTCATCATAGGAATGCGCTTGACTCAAAGTCATTTCCGACAACAGGAGCCTTTCACGATTTGCCGCCTTGAACTCGCTTTGTGCCAAGGCTGCTTGCAGTTCTGCTACCACTTCAAGGTGGTTTCGTTCTGCTCTGTGCTCCAAGTCGGCTGTGTGAATTGCGGATGCTTCTTGATAGGTCAGCATGTGTTGCCTGTGTCTTGCTTCTGCCTGAGCCTCTAGTTCTCCGACTTCCAGTCTGATCTGGTTAACGTGTACTTCAACACTATACTGTGGTGCGAAGACGTTGAATTGTTGGACTGAGGCTGGTGCCGGGAAAACTAAGCCGGGGGCGCCGCTCCCTGTATGGCCACCCGTGACCGGGGGCTGTAAAGGGTTCACGGTGCTTGTAACTGTATCCATACTTGCAGGAATAAGTTCCGGTTCGCTCATGCGCTGATTGATTGTATTGTAACCAACCAGTTGTGACCAGGCCGTAGGCTATACGGCTGATAACCTATAGTTGTTGTAAGCCACTGCACACACGCACTGTTGTATATACCCGTCCAAGTGTTTACAAGCAGCGCAATACCATTAGGCAACTACGCACTTTTCCTGTAAGAGCACTTGTGCCACAATGCCGTACACACAACATGCTACTTCACACGTGCACAAATTACAAGCTCTAACTCTTAACCATGCCGGCGCACTGGGCTCATCTCCAGAACCCGGGGGCAGCGAGCTGCTCCTGTAGAAGACCCGCCCCCATACAGTAAGTAACAGTCCATCAAGAAGGGTACTGGTAAGGGCCTCATGTATCCATACTGTACATCTTTTGCAGCTGTTAGAGTGGAGCAGCATCCAACATCATTGGGGAACTAGGGCTTCAGGGTCAGGCTTGAGGGTGAGCCTAGTTTTATGGGCAAGACTCGCAGGCTCAGGACCACAGGGGCTCACTGAAGAGGTCCTTGAAGGACGCTGGCAAGGGATCGGCTTGGGGTTTAGGGTTTGGCGCATGCTTGGAAACTGCAGAAACTTGACTTTCCGTAACCTGCTCTACTGTAAGGTCCCAATACAAATCCTGGTCCTAGTGCAGTGGATAGGGGCGCGACGAAAGGTTGCCGGAGTAGGCTGTCGGGTTTCTGGAGTGAGGACCAAGTAAAGGGGCGACCTGCTCGATTTAGGCACTCCGAACTTTCCTCAGATCATGTTGGAGTTGCAGTAGCCTGTAACACCAGGAAGAACCAAGCAATGACAAATTAACAACAGCAGCACCCACAGCCCAGTCCCAGCCCCAGCCCCACAGCCGCAGCAACAGCAATCGTAGTGCTCTTTGTAGCCATCGTCGTCATGGCAGCCATCGCAGTCGTAGTCATAGTCGCAGAGGCACTGGTAAATAGTAGTTATAATAAGCATGGATATGATAGCAGCACTTTGTTACAACTTCAACGTAGTCTTAATGATAGCCGGGTGAGTTTGACAACCTTCGAGGCAGCCAGTGAAGTCTAACCGCAAAGCCCGGGATGAGCCAGGGTCCTGCTGCCGTCGCAGAGCGTCGTTAGCATCTTCACGAAGGGAGTATGATCCTGCAAGGATGTTTTGCCGAGACTTTTTGCGACCAAGTTTTAGGTCTTACTATAGTAACTAGACTCAAAGCCTGCAGTCCTATTCTTTTTTGTTCTTCCTACACACCAGGATCTTTCCTCAAACCCTACCAGTACAGCCAGAAAACCCAGACCTTCCGTCGCAAACCTCGAAAGCCTTAATTCACCTCAGCCTAAACCTAAACAGGCACCTTAAAGCCTAAACCCCTAAACCCAAAATGCTAAACCCCCAACAGACACGAGCCTCCACCGGCTCCTAGTACAAGGATCAGATATAGAAGCTTCCAACACTGCAAAAACCAATACTCGTCCTAAGGGGCTTCTCAATAATTACGAAAGTATACCCCAAGTCCTACTCAACCTATCATGGGCCCTTTATTCGCGGGCTTGAGCAATTACAAGGCATTCTGTGCAACACTCCTTGCTTGTTGGATAGGCCTTGGTGCGCACTGCTCTTCTGCCATGCAACATACTGCGGCCCCTTTACTCCCCAAACATGCATTATCTTGATCCTTTAGCGACTGCAGCAGAGGCACGAAAAATGCATTCAGGGCTGCTTTAAAATTGACACGCCCAATTAAGCCCGAAGCCCGGGAAACCCTAGGCTGTGATTCTGTAAACCTTATCAGTCCTGAAAGCCCTAACAGTACAAGCCTTGAAACCCTGAAACCCCCGATACAAACCTTGTAGAACCTACAAGGCCCCAGAAAATGAAAAGCAAACCCTAACACCCCCCCCCCCCCCCCCCGAAGAAAAAACAAAAAACCTACACCCTGAAACCCCAAATCCTGAAACTTGGGAAAACCCTAAACCCTAAACCCTAAGTCGTCCTGTCTATCTCCCTCCTCGATCTGCCCAGTGGAAGCGCAGTGCTTAAACCTGGGAAGCTCCGTCTGCTCGCGCCTTTTTGGGGTTTTAGGTTTATCGTGACCCCACATCTAAAGGGGCGTCCCCTAAACCCTAAGCCCTAATACCCCAGCAGCTTAGAGACCTAAACCCAAAACCCTGAGCATCAGACGAGAGACAAAGAGCTTCGACAGAGAGACAAACTGCTTCAAGTTCTTAAGATTTTCGGGAGGGTTTAGAGCCTTTGACAGTTTGAGCATGTAGGTCGCATTTAATATAGCTTGAGAGCTTTAGGGCTTCGCGGAGTTCAGGGGCCCATGGGAGGGGAGAAAATTCGGGCTTCCAGTGTGGCTAGCGGTGATTGTAGGAACAACTTCGATTAAGGCAGAAGCCAGAAAATTGGAAGATCATTAGCCTCATGCCCGTACAGTAAAGCAATTTTGGGAATCACAGCATGAATCCTCTTTCCAACTTTCTGGGGTTCACTGTAAACAAATTCTGTACGTAGGCCTGATTCTGCTACGTGCCTCTGGAGATACACTGCCAGAGTGAAGTGGGCAGCGTTCTTGCACATGTAGACTTGGGCATTGTAAACCCTGAAGCCCTCAATGCGAAACCGCCCCTTTTAGCGAGGCAATCGGACGGCACCAAAACCACAAGCCCTCATGCTCCCATCTACCCATATCGTATATACTTATAAGGCCTTAAAGTATAGACTTTACGGCCTAAGTACATGGGTGGTTGTCAAAATTAGGGTCCCTTTTTGGGTACCCTAAGTATCAGGTGCCGTATCATATTAGGGCCCCAAAAGGGGACCATAACTTTGACAACCACCCACATGCTACCATGGGCACAGCAATGGGCACATGGAGCCTTAAGGGAAAATCCGGCCCCGATCTCGAAAGATCTTGACTTGGAGCTTCGAGTTTGGGGCTTCAGGTTATTTAAGGCTTTAATGTTTAGGGTTTAGGCTTTACTGTTTCGGGTTTGGTCTTTGATGTTTAGGGTTTAGGGTTTGGGGCTTAGGATGGTTTAGGGTTTAGGCTTTAATGTTTAGGGTTTAGGGTTTGGGGCTTAGGATGGTTTAGGGTTTAGGGCTTTAGGACTGGAAGGTAGCAGCCCCGACAATCCTGAGCCCTCCAACTTCGAAGGAAGGGAAGAGCAACATCGGACTTCCCCCATGTCTCCACTGCCTACTAAGCCCTAAACCAAAACCCCAGACCCGAAACCTTATCCCTGAACCCCTGAATCCTAAACCATCAACCTTGCAGATCTATTGGCAGGGAATGAGCTTCCAGCAGGATGGATGAAGTAGGCTTAGTTGGGGCCATGTGCTGAGAAGGCTCTTCTGGGTACTTCAACCAATTCCTCAAGGCTCGCTTTAACGGTTCTTGACAAATTTCTGCGAGGGTTCTACAAGGGTGGGGAGTAGTGCCTGATAGGGTTTGGGCTTTAGGCATGGCAGGCTGTGAACTGTGTTGCTCAGGGCTCTGGCCCTGCATCCCAGGCATCGAACACAGCGGCGGTGAACTCGCAACAGGCATCCTGTTTCGGCCCACTTTTAAGAAGTAGTTGCTGCAATCTCGGGTTCCTTTAAGTTCCTGTAAGGGGGCGCAAGGCTCCAAACCCCAAAGCCTAAACCTTAAACCCTGAAGCCTGAATCCAATGCCCTCTTACTTGACCCGTGATTGAGGACCACCAGGCGGAACATCAACAGAATTTGGAATTGCTTCAGAGCTGTTCCGTCTTACAGCCGCCAGAATGCTATAGCCTTGGGTTCGGAGGCGATCGGGCTAGCCCTCCTGAACCTCATGGCGTCCGGTGGCACTGCCGCTGTCACATCTGCCAGACGGTACAGAAGGTGGTGCCTAAACCCTGAACCTGTGGGGACTAGAAGGGGATACTTCGTGCACTAATTATTCAGAACACCCCTTAAGTCCAAGGCCACGGCCTCAAGAATGCAAATACACAGTTTAACTTACACTGGTGTTCGGTGGTCTTCACGGTGCGCTTTACAGCCGAAGGCACGACAATGTGGGATTTGGCGGCTTAGTACAGCTATATGTTGTCATGTTGTTCCTTGCCTTAGACATTGGCGTTTATTTTGGAGGAATTGGCGGTTTCCGAAAATAGGGAACCCACCCCAAATACGGTACCCCTAATTTTCGGAAACTCCGAATTGTTGCAGAGGTTTTAAGGCGTTTAAGGTGGAAGATTCGAGGCTGAGAATCTCAAGGCCTGGAAGCTGTCGGTGGAGCCGAGCTATCCGCAAGTCGCTGGCTCAGTTTGAGGTTTAGGGCTCAGTGCGGAAATTTCAAGGAAGGCTTATATAACCCGACACCCGCCTCTTGAAGCAAGGGCTGTACAGGTGCAACTTCCCTGAGGACGAGCATCGCTTCAGGGGATCTGGGGAACTTCACTACACTTGGACGCTCGTTTGACTGAGGTAGGATGGGTTATAACCTTGTATGGGGATTGTGGAGAGCTCCCAGAAAAATACTATGTAATTACACGTGCATACACCCGTCAAGCTGAGTCTGACAGACTCTGGGTACATCATCTACCATAGTTCGTCTTTCGACAAATTTCTATAGCTCTGCCACGCCCTCCCCCATTGAACGAAAAACATTATAAATGAAGGAGGTGCAGATCATGAGGCTTGTCCATCGCAAGCTGGCTTCGGAGATGTAAACACCAACAACCCCCTACCGGAATCTGGGATTGTGAATTTGTTGCTGGCTCGGGCTGGAAACCGCTTGAGGGCATGATCTTTTGAAGGCTAGTACCCACATGTAGAAGAACCCTCAAACAAGGTTTGGTGCTCTGAGCCTGAAAGGTCTTACGGACCAAAACCTCATGGCACAGTCGCTTCAGGTTCGGGTCCGCGCCATAGTGCATGTACAATATGGCTATCCCACAATGTGAAAGCACTCTCCACTCCAACTGCCCGACGCAGAACCACGATTCTCATGTGTATCTAGACTTGGGATGAGGTTCAAAGTGAGATGTCGAAGCCCCTAACAGACGCCGTAAGAAGAACGCCTGACTACAGTAGAGGGTCGCATGGCAACGAAACTCAAGCTCCTACCCTGGACCTTATAACCTAAGCCAATTCCTCAAGTGCCTATCCGAAGGCCGGAGGAAAATCATTCCTAAGCAAGCGTCTGTGCCCGAAAGCACCGTCTGCCCTAAGCCCGATCTGCGTAAGAGGTCGCCGTCCCCGTTCCACCATAGCATAAGGATACTATGGTCATTCCGACCTCTAAGACTCTATGTTGCTTATGCAATCCTAGCCCATGCCACGCACAAAGGCACGGGCGCATCCACATCGGCTGGCTCCACCTTTCATCTGTGGGATTTGTGACGGGGGCACCAGGGTCTTTTGAGGGCTCTTTATGGGTTTGGAGCCTAGACCTTCGTAAGACAGAAGCACAGCAAACTCCTGAGTACGTAACGCTGCTTTGCGGTGATCAATCCTGCATGTTTCGCTTGACCAGCCCCGTTCAGCGAGGGCTGCAATGCAAAAACATGCAGAGATCGCTGGCAGGTTTTTGGGGTCCCATGGTAGCTGCCCAGAGGCTCCATAGCAGTTCCTTTTTGGGGATTCATATTTAGAATCCTATAAGGTACTCCCAAAAAGGAACTACTATGGAGCCTCTGGGTATGCCAGCAATGACAGAATGCAAAGCTGGACCTGAGCAAGTCACTCTCCAGGATGAACCCTTTTCCCCGAACTCAAGCTGATGGGTATGAGCACCACGCCGGACTTTGCGATGGAGGTTGCGTGACCTGCAGGAGATATATGTAGTCTAGGATGTTGCTCAATCTGAGGTCCGTGGCTGGGCTTCGGACTGAAGTTTGGGTGAACCCTGAACCCTAAATCCTCAGATCTGGCGGCTCGCGACCACCCTTCTGCCTGGGTCCCGCAAGGCTCAGGAGAGGTGGTGTAGATTGATGCAAGCCTTGCTCCCATTCCTACCGATTGCAGGGGCCCTGAACCAGCAAACCTTCGGAACATAAAGGTCTGAATAACTCCGAAAAAACTCCCCTCGTAGCCCCTTAAGGCCATAGTATCCGAGGCCCCCAAAACACCGATGTTGCTGTTCAGGCTCCTA